GGGCCCCGGGAAGGTTTGGGGTTTTTTTTCCCTTTGGGGGGGGATTTTGGGGGGTTTTGGGGGGTTTTGGGGGGGTTTGGGGCCCGGGGAGGTGTGGGGGTTTTTTTTCCCTTTGGGGGGGGGTTTGGGGGGGTTTGGGGGGGTTTTGGGGGGTTTTGGGCCCCGGGAAGGTTGGGGGTTTTTTTGCCCTTGGGGGGGGGGGCAGGGGGGGGTTTAGCTTTTTTTCCCGGGGGTTTTTTGAAGCCCGGTGGGGTGGGGGTTAGGGGCCCCCCCCCCCCCCCCCCCCCAATGCACAACAATGGCGCTAAGAGGTCCCCCCCCCCCCAAAGGCGCGAGACACACCTTGGCCTTGAGCGCGTGCGACTCGTTGAGGATCGCGGTGTGTGAGTTGAAGAGCTCGCGCACGGTGACCTGGGGTCAGGGCGGGGGCTGTGTGCGTGCGTGCGTGCGTGCGTGTGTGTGTGTGTGTGTGTGTGTGTGTGTGTGTGTGTGTGTGTGTGTGTGTGTGTGTGTGACTGTGTGTGTGTGTGTGTGTGTGTGTGTGTGCGTGTGTGTGTGTGTGTGTGTGTGTGTGTGTGTGAGTGCGAGTGAGTGCGTGTGTGAGTTGAAGAGCTCGCGCACGGTGACCTGCCGCTGCTCGTTCTCCGCCTCCATCTGCTGCAGCGCCGGCTCCTCCTCGGCACGCCTCTGCTCCGCCTGCCTGCGCGCGGAGAGTAGCCGCTCGCTCTCCTCCTCGAGGGAGGCCTTTGCGTTGAGCAGCGCGTCCGTCTCCTGCGAGAACTGCATGTAGCCGGGCAGCTTGTCCTCGTGGTACCTAGGAAAGGTCCAGGAAAGGTCCAGGAAAGGTCCAGGAAAGGCCTGGCAGCTTGTCCTCGTGGCACTTTGCTAGGTTGATGACGGCGGAGAGGCTGCGCCGCACTCGCCGCGCCTCCGGCTTGATGAGGTCGCTCATCGTGAAGTCGCCCACGCCCGCGATCGCCATCAGCTTTTGGCTGCACAGAGGGGCAGAGCCGGCGTCAGCGCCCGACTTCTCCGCGCTCGGCGGCGAGGGAGAGGCGGCGTACAGAGAGGGCGAAGGAGGGCGGGTGGGGGCGGGCGTGGCCGCGCGGGGATGCATCCCGGCCGGGGTGGCGGTTGGGAGAGCGGCGCGGCGCGGCGCGAGAGGGAGAGGGCCGGCGCCGCCGCGCGGGCGACGTGCGCCGCCGCCGCCGCCAGCCGCGCCGAGGGAGGGATGCGCACCAGGCGGAGAGGAAGCCGATCATCGGGACGGACTGCTCGTGTAGCTCCGGGAACTCCAGCTCCTGCAGCCCCTCGAAGTCGGGCTGCGCCATGTCCTCGCGCTTCCGGTGCAGCAGCAGCTCGTTGAACGACGCGTATATGTGCTGCACCTTGAGGCCGGTCGGGTGGAGGAGATCGTCCTCGGAGGAGGCGATGCCCAGCTCGTTGAGGCACTGCAGGATCTCCGCGCTCTTGAGCAGCGGGAAGGCGTCCTTGGGCTGCTTGCCGGCCATCGCTGGCCGTTTGCTTTGAGAGAGAGAGCCGGGCAGAGAAAAGAATTTTTAGAATGGCTCCAAGTTACGAGCACTCCAAGTGCTCCAAGTGCTCCGAGCACCGCTGAAATGAGAATCTTACCACAAAACTCCCTCGCACAACACTGGGCACGGGACTGGCGCGCACTGGCACTAAATGAGAAAACGGCGGTCTGGAGAAGGAGGTGAGGGCGACGAACGGGGCACACGCGCCAGGCGTGGTGAGGATTGTCCGAGAGGAGAAAAACAAACGCATCGCGGCACAGTGAGATCTCGGTGTGTCAGTCGTGTGCCAGCAGTCGTGTGCCAGCGCTCGCGTGGGAGCCCCTCTCTCACTTACAGCTCGACCCCCCGCTCCTCGCACGCGGCCACCAGCTGCTCACGCTGATCGTCACGCAACCAGTAGCCCACGACGAGCATCTGCACGCGAGCGGGGAGGCGCGATGAGCTTTGGGCGTGGAAGGGGCGTGTGGCGAGGGGGGCGTCTCGCGCCTTCAAGCTCGGGGCGGCCCCCTCCTTGAGGGCGGCGGCCAGCGCCTTGCATCCCTCGTCGCCAATCTGGAAGTTCTCGCCGAGACTGAGCTCCTCGAGCCGCGGCACTGCCCCCTCCTTGCCGAGAGCGGCGGCCAGCGCCTTGCAACCTTCGTCGCCAATCTCGTTGCACTCGAGATTGAGCACCTCGAGCCGCGGCGCTGCCCCGCTCGCGAGGACCTCCGCCAGCTGCGCCGCCTCCGCGTCGCCCCAGCCGAGGTTCCAGTACTTAAGCACGGTCGCCTTGCCAAACTGCTCCTGGAAGGCGTCCTCGTACAGCCGCTTCACGAGCGGATAGTCCTCCTTGCCGTTAGTGAAGCTCTTTGTCTCCAGCTCCGCCGCGAACGCAGACGGCAGCAGCGGAGGGCGCCGGCCGCCGTCCTGGACGCAGTCGTCTCGAAGGCTGCTCCAGTCGTACTCCTCGCCGTCGCGCATCTTGCCGAGGTCGAGCGAGAGGCTGCTGCCCTTGGTCAGGCCCGCCCAGCTGCCCTCGGTGTAGCACCATCCGCGGTCAAAGTACTTGGCCACGTTGGTGCCCTCGGCCTGGTCCTCCGCCTTGTGGCCGTCCGGGAAGGAGGTCAGCCGCAGCACGGTCGTGTTCGGGTGGGAGTAGAGTGTGCCGAGGCAGCCCAGCCCCTGCTTGAAGAGCGCGTTCTGCTCCTCGGTGCGCAGGACGCCGTTGAGCGGGTCGGGGTGCTGGTGCAGCGAGCCGAAGTCCCAAAAGACGCCGAGCCGTGTGATGCCGTAGGGATTGTTGAGCAGGGCCTTGAGCGCCCTTGCGACGCGGGAGAGGTTGGCTCCGAGCGGGTCGGGGTGGTCCTTGGTCAGCCACGGGTATGAGAGCGCGGCGACGGGAAGCGATCCCACATTCTCGTTGGTCGCCTCGACGAGGTCGGTGAAGGAGAGGAAGGCCTCTTTGGGCAGCGCCTGGCGGTGGTTTAGGACGCCGCCCGCCTCGGCGTGGCGGATGATCCACCGCGTGTCGAGGAGGGCGACGGCGCCGCTCGCGACGACCGGCTCCAGGTCGCCGCCGCCGAGCTTGCGCCACAATTCCAGCCTCCCCGCGTCCACGCCGAGATCGGTGGCGGATGGGAGGGCTGCCGGCTCTGCTGGAGCAGGAGGGGCTGCGGTTGCCTGGGCACTAGCGTCCTCCTGCCTCTCGTTGCATGAACCATCCACCTTCGTGCTCGCCAGCTCATCTGCCGTGCCAAGAACTGCGGCGTCAGCAGCTACATCTGCCGCCTTTCGTGCGTTCGCCTGCTGCAATGCAGCCGCCCTCGCCAACGCCGCCTTGACCAGCGTGGCACCTTCCGCCAATGCCGGCCCTGCACCAGCTCCCTTCAGCACGGCCGCCCGCTGCAATGCAGCCGCCCTCGCCAACGCAGCCTGCACCAGAGCGGCTTTCTCAGCCACCGCACGCTCTGCAATAGCCCGCTTCTCAACGCTGGAGGACATGGCGACCGGGAGCGCGATCTGTTACATACCTGGGGGTTTTCTTTCGTGCTTACAAGTGTCTATCTGAAGGAGTTACTTCCTGAAGTAACTACTTACTTCGAGAAGTAACTATCCCCGCCCCGCGCCTGCAATGGCCCCTAGCCCCCGCCCACAGCTCCCTAGACACAGGGCAGACCTGGACTGGAGCGGACCCGCTCCCTAATACTCCTCTGAGGAGTGGTGGTCACCGTCGGAGTCGGTGTAGGAGCTCCACCGCGCCCGCCGGGGCTTGTTCTTAGGACTTGTGTACGCCGGGCGTATCGTGCACTTGGTCGCGGAGGCGAAGGGACCTCCTGCGCTCCCCAGGCGGCCTCACCGGAGCCTGCGGCATGCTTGGGCCTGGCAGGGGACGGTGAGGGGTGCGCTCAGTACAGTCGGGGGCGCCTGCACCGCGTGAAGGCGTGAAAAAAGAAACGGAGCAATGCCGGAGATAATCATGCTCAAGCTGTTGTCGGCGGGCGATGGCGCGATGGACTTGAAACGGACGGCACGTCCCGGCTCGCGGCGCGCGGTGCATGATGTGAGCGCGTGCGGCAGAGGCGCGCCTTGAGGCGCGGCAGCGCCTTGCGGGGCTTCATGCTTCGCCTTCGATCGTGTCGTCACCATGTCGTTGACTCGCTGACCCGTGACAGCTTTGACTGCGACCGTGACCGGGTCGGGTCGAGCGTCAGATGCCCCCAAAGCGTGCAAAGGGAAAGAAGCCCGCTGCCGCCGCGGCGGCGCCGGGCCCAGCGGCGGCACTACTCGCAGCAGCAGCTTCCACAAGGCTGCAGTGGGCGCCGGCCCCAGGTGCAGCTGGCCCAAGCACGTTGCCGCCGCCGGTCGTGCAAGCGGAGTATGGAACCGCCGATGATGACCTCGTGCGGGTCGGCCAGCTCGGTGTCGAGCTCCTTCCGCCGCATCGGCGCGGCGGCAGAGCCGCCCCAGCCGCTGCGCCTTCGCCTGCGGAGGCTCCTGCGGCGGCTGCACCTGCTGCTGCGGGTGAGTGAGCCCGACGACGACGAGCAGCCTGACGGCGCGCGCATTCCAGACCTCGATGATGTCTTGGGCTGGGGGGGTGGCAAGGGTGTAGGAGGGCTCTCAGGAGACCGTTTGCCGGCAGCAGGGGGCGCGCGCTCGGCCGACATGTGCGCCAGAATGCCGCAGAAGTAACTATGAAGTAACTGTGTTTGGGCTGTCTCCCGGGCGTGTTTGAACCCTAATTGTCGGCCCCAGTGACCGGTCTAGAGGTCTGTGTGTGGCCTGGGGGGGCCAAACAATAAGGCGAGGGGTTCCTAGTAAGCGGTTGGGGGGTGCGAGCCCGTGCTATAGTGCAGTGAATACTTACTTCCTGAAGTAACTTCATCCTTCAGATATAGACAAGGTACCAACGCGGCCAAAGGATATCCACCTCTGACGAATATACAGTCCGACACGACTGGGACACCGGCAGACCCTTCGGTCCCGATGCTCCGCCGTCCGGTCGTGCGCGCCGCCCTCGCGGTTCTTGGCGGCTCCTCCACGGCGGCCGTCCGCAGCAGCCTTCACGCCGCCGCTCCCTCCGACGAGTCGCTCAGCGCTCTGTGGGGAGCGGCGATCGACGGGATGATAGCCGTGCCGGGTGCCGAGCGAATCGCCGCTCCAAACGGGGTGCTCTACCTCGCGCCTCTGCCGCCCGGCGCGGCGCCGCCCGAAGGTGTCGAGTGCAAAGGTTCTGGCCAAGAGCGCAGTTTTCGCGCTCACCGCGCACAATCCGATGGGCGAGGCGGCGCCCGCGGCTGTAAACCGCGAGGCGAACCGCAAGCTGCAGGCCGACATTGCCAGCCTGCGGCCAGTCCCGCGCGCGTGGTGGCACAGCTTTGGCTTCAGCGCCGAGGAGGGCTGGCGAGAGGACGGCTTCTGCGTCGCCTTTGCCACTGACGAGCGAAGGTTCGCGCGCGCGCAGGTGCTGAAGCTGGCACGGGCGTACCGGCAAGCGGCCATCTACCAGTTCAGCTACAAGGACGGCGTGCTGCTGCGCGAGGTTGTGTGGTGCGATCCGACCAAGCAGGAGCAGGCTGCCGAGGCGCCCGAGCGGATGGCGCCGCTGCGGATGCCGCCAGAGAGCGAGCTGGCGGACGTTGGCGGTGCCCGGGATTTATAGATCTGCAGCTGGTGAAAGTTTAGGTGTGTGAGCTGGCCGTTCGTTGTTCTCGCGCTTTAAACTTTCCGCCGCCAACCCGGCTCCACAAATCTCACACGCCACACTTACCTACGTCCTTACCCGTTACCGACTACCGTCCTGGATGCGCCTGTCCCTGAGCGGAACCCCCCTCGCTCGCCACTCGTCTCGGAGCACGGACGACGGAGGTCGGCTCGCGCTCGCCGTCAGTCAGATGTCTGCCCATCCAAAGTAAGCCATGGAGCGACCGAAGTCGCGCGAGGATTCGCCATACATCCGCCGCGTCCGCGCTGCCGCTCTCTGCAGAGCCGCGACCTTCTTCGAGTAGGCCTTGTCCTGAGCGCGGCTCTGGGGGGGTAAGGGGGCCCCCGGAGGCACCGTGCGCCGCGCAGCAGTGCGGAAACGGGGCTCCGGCTCTATTAGTCTCTATTAGCACCGACTTCCCGATTGAGAAGACGGGCACTGGACCACGCCTGCGTGGATCGCGTCACACCAATCCTCGCTACCCAACGCGGCCAAAGGATATCAACCTCGAGAACCTCGAGAGCACTTGGAGATAGACTAGAATTCTTTGTTGGCGGCTCCGGTGCGTTGTCGAGCCTGTCTCGACTAGCGAGTTCTTTTGTTGATATAAGAATTCTTTTGTTAATCTTTGCACAAATGCTAAGTGATTTTGGCGCGGCCACCGCCACGGCCGCCGGTCTCGCGTGCGTCGCCCTCCTGTTGTTGCGGAGTCAGCGCCGCCGGCCTCGGCGCGACGACAGCGTCGCCTCCAACGCGCTCGATCTGATCGGCAACACGCCGCTGCTGGAGTTGCCGTCCCTCTCGGCGGCGACCGGCTGCCGCGTGCTGGCCAAAGCTGAGGTGCGCCTCCGCTCTCGCCCCACGTCACAGCGGCCTCCCGTGCCGCCGCACCACGCCGACACCGCGCGCCCGTGGCCGCGCGCAGTTCCTCAATCCGGGCGGCAGCGCCAAGGACCGGGTGGCGGCCGCGATTGTCGCTGAGGCCGAGGCGGCTGGCACACTGCGCGAGGGCGGGACGGTCGTCGAGGCGACGGCCGGGAGCACCGGCATCTCCCTCGCCCTGGTGTGCGCCGCCAAGGGCTACCGCTGCCACCTCGTCGCCGCAGACGACGTGTCGCCTCAGAAGCGCGAGCTCATCACCGCGCTCGGCGCGACGCTCGAGCTGGTCCGGCCTGCCGCGATCGCGGACGCGGCGCACCCGGTCAACGTGGCGAGGGCGCGCGCCGCCGCCCTCGGCGACGGCTCCATCTTTGCCGACCAGTTTGAGAACCTGGCAAACACGCGCGCGCACGAGGCGGGGACGGCGGCTGAGATCTGGGCGCAGAGGAGCCGCGAGTGCCACACACGGCTAGATTGGCCGGTTGGACGTGGCTGGCGTGATTTGGGCGGGATGCGAGGAGGTGGATTCGGTTGGACGATATTCGCGGGCCCCTCCCCGCTGCAGGCGCAGACGCGCGGTACCGTCGATGCCTTTGTGATGGGCGCTGGCACCGGAGGCACGCTCGCCGGTGTCTCGCGCACGCTCAAGCGGCGGAAAGCCGACCCCAGAAGCAGAAGGCGTAGTCTGGTCTCCCAACTAGCGCCGGAGAGGACACGTATGCGGCCGTACTCGGCCGTATTCAGCCGTGCGCACTGTCTTCGCACCCCCTCGTACTCACGCGGCGCTCTGATACACGGCACTCTACCGCCCTCCCGCCCTGAGGATGGCGGGCTCAGCACGCAGGAAGCCGTCGGTGCGCGTCTTCCTCGCCGACCCGCCGGGCTCGGCCCTCTTCCACCGCGTGGAGCACGGCGTGCTGTATGCGCCGCAGCAGCAGGAGCGGACGGCGCGCCGGAACCGGTGCGGCAGAACAGCGTCGTGGAGCCGGGGGTGAGACGCTGCTCCGAGCGGCCGCGAGTTCTTTGTTCTTGTCAGGTGCGAGACACCGGCGTGGAGGGCGTCGGCCGAGGGCGTCGGCCGGCGCACGTAGCTCTGGGTCATCCTCCACTCACCATCAGGTACGACACCATCGTGGAGGGCGGGCGCTGCGACTTCTTTACGAGTTCTTTTTTCTTGTGAGGTACGACACCATCATGGAGGGCGTCGGGTGCGACCGCCTCACCGCCAACTTCGCGGCCGCTCGAATCGACGCCGCGTTTCGTGTGAGCGACGAGGCCGCGCGCGATGGCGCGGCCCCCCTCCCATGTTCATGTGAGCGACGTCCGTTCACCACGAGGGCGGTGTGCGCCTAGGAGTCGTGTGCGATGGCGCGGCGGCTGCTGCGGGACGAGGGGCTCTTCGTCGGCGGCTCCGCCGCGATGAACTGCGTCGGAGTGCTGCGTGCTGCGGAGGTGTTGCCGCCGGGCAGCACGATCGTCACTGTGCTGTGCGACGGTGGGCAGCGGTACCTGCACTCGGTGTGGAGGGAGGAGCGGAGGCGGGAGGGCGAGAGCTGCGCACAGTGTGGTTAGAGCCGAGTATGTAGCTGCGGGCTCTCAAGCAAGATCCCGATTGTACGTACAGAGAGTGAGCCGGCATGCGGCAACTTGAGAAGTTCACACAGCTTGGTTCACCGACCGGAACACTTGCGGCCGCCACGTGGTGCATTTCCGATTTCGCGTGGACCACATGGGAAGGGAAACAGCGGGAGTGGACCGACAGACACAGACTGAGAGCCTTACTTGCAACTACTCGTATTCGTACGGTGCAACGACCTCAACGTGAATTGAGACACTGCGTCACTGACGTACATTCGACATATCGCGCATGCTGAGTCACACGCAACCTCACATGTTTTAAGGCGTGTACGACCGATTCCCCTTCGCCTTCATGGCGTTCACTTTTGCTGGGCGGGGAGGCGGAATGCTACGCGGTTTGGTGCGCACTGGGTTCTGCTTCTGGCGAGACGATGCCGGTGGCGGTGAGCGATATATGTGTATATGCGGCGGCGGCGGCGGCGGCGGCGGCGACTGTGGTGGCGGCGGCGGCGGAATGCGTGAAACGACGAAGAGCAGAGCGAACAGAACAAAGATGCTGGCCCACAGCCGACGAACATCATTTCGCCGCTGACGCTGCCATTTAGCGATGCGATCGTCGCGTATAGCCGCCTCATCGAATCTCACGCTTCTCTGACCCTTCGTCGGCGGGTCGTTCGACATATCGCCGTGTTTTGGTGCCGTGAGCGGTGCTTGCGACAAGGAGCAGAGAAGCGAGCGCTGGAACAAGCAGCGATCCGAGTGTGGCGTGCAGGAAAAAAAGAAAAGCGCCAAGTCCCTCCTGTGTGTGTGTGTGTGTGTACGCGCCCCTCCTCTCTTGCCTCCTCCTCCCTCGCCGCCTCCTCCCTCGCCGCCCCTCCGCCCTCGCCGCCTCCGCCCTCGCCCTCGCCGCCTCCGCCCTCGCCCTCGCCGCCTCCGCCCTCGCCCTCGCCGCCTCCGCCCTCGCCCTCGCCGGAGCCGCCTAAGGACAGCATGTTCTTGGGCACGGTCTGGTGTGGCACGGTCTGGTGTGCAGGCATCTGTGGATGACTGGGCCGCTCTGTGTCGTCGTGGTTTCGTATCAAGAATACTCACTCACTTCTCGCTGTATCGTGGCGTCTTGCTACTTGCACCAGAACAAGAAGCACTTGGAGCACTTGGAGTGCAGTCATTAGCCTCACATCCAGGGCCGGGGAGCTAAGAAGCGCACCCAGCGGGCCGCCCGGATGATCGGGATCGGGTTGCGGGCAAGAGAGCCCTAGCCCCGGGGAAGACGTCAGGTTGAGCTGGACTCGCCAGGCTGAGGCCCCTCCCCGAAAGGCAAGTTTTAGCCACATAAAACCGAGACCCCTCCCCCCCGCCCCGATCCCCCCACCCCCTTGCTCCCCTCCCCCCCTCGGGAGGGCCGAACTGAGGCGCCCGTGGGGACCCCACAATTCCCTTCCCCCCTCGGAGGGGGCCGGACGGAGGCGTACCCCGTGGGCCCCGCTCTTTCCCTCGCATAGCGGCCACTCTTCGGATCGCTGGTCGAGCGACCCGGGGGATGCCCCGCGCGCCTGACCCAGGCGCGAAAACGAATCTGCGAGGCGAGGCCGCTCACGCGGCCCGATGGGGAGGAACGGGGCGAGCCCCCTCCAACCCACCCGCGCTAGGTCTCGGGGGACGAAGGGGTCACACCCGACGACCTCGGGAACTAGCCGGGGCAGTCGGAGAAGTGGCAACTCCGTGCACTGACGGTCGGCCGCCAGAAAACACGCCTCCGTGGCTCGGGTTACACCAATCCTCGCTACCCAACGCGGCCAAAGGATATCCAGCTCGAGAACCTCGAGAACCCGCAAAATTGGCCGCGAATCCCGCCTTCTAACTGCCATGTCACGGCCGGTCGGCTGCTGCTCTCGCCTCGCCGGCGGCGCGGTCTGGTGCCGCGGCGCCCAGCTCTCCTGTGGGCTCGCGGCGGCTCGCCGCCGCGGTGCCGAACAATGTGATCAGTCCGGATTCGTCCCGGCGTGCCGCCGGTGCTGCTTCCTCGCCGATTTTTGGCTCGACCAGTTTGTCGACAAACCTGTGCCAGAGCTCCTGCTGGTCGACTGAGCGGCGGAGCCGGCCCTTCGCGGCCGAGAGGCGATGCGCCGACACCGGGGCTACGGCTCGGGACCGTTTCCAGGCTCTCTCGAGCAACCTCAAATTCTGATGATTTCATGCTCGCCACTTTGCTGCACACTTTGACCTCGACCCGCGGCCCGCTGCGCGGCTCTTCGAGCGCGAGAGGTGACGTCTGCGAGGCGGCGGCGAGCGCAGGCGGCGCAGGCGGCGGCGGCGCGGCGGCGCGGCGGCGGATCGCGGCGCAGACAACGGCAGCAATCTGCGGCAGGCTGCTGCCTGCTGCTGTAGCAGCTGCTGCTGCTGCTGCTGATCCGCTGATTGTGGATACGACTTCTCCGATCAC